ATATAATGTATAGCTTCTAGAAAATTTCAGGTTCTAACCAGTCTTTTTCCTTGTTCAGATGCACATCATAGTCATCAAAACGTGGAAAAATAATAAAGATTAATTCAAAAGCATATTTTCACTCCTTTTGTGTTGTCGTCATGCTTATACCATTGTCCCTTCTATCAATGCTTATACTAGGCAAATCTAGACGAAAAAATTTGTTTGATTGGGATTCCTGGTGCTTCATACGTGTATTTCCGCCAAAATTTAATTTAATTGACTGACGTGGACGAACGCGGGGGCATGGGCTTTCAAGTTGCTACCGAATTCAAGCACACGCTAGCGGTTACGGTATCGCATTACGATGCAGTTGCTATAGTGGCTTCGATCCTCGGTCCTGTGTCTTTGAATTCTTGTCTAATAACGAACATCATTCCAAATGCTGGAGCTGGAGCAATAGGTCACTAACGCCGGAAAATCTTTTCAGTTTATTTCTTTGTCATGGGGAATATTCTCTTTTGTAATGAAGAAGAGAAAAATTTAGTTTATCTTTGGAGTTGTTAAAGACATAGAGACCTGTAGTGTGGAAAATACTGTACCAAAGTTATTCACTTCGGTTGTATAAAATGAACACCGTAGAAAAATTAGTCTGAATTCAGAAATATTTGTAAGGATAACACACTCTGAATTCCCGGTTTTACTGTGTCTTCGGCGAGGCTTAAAAGGGGCCCTAATTTGTGTCTCGCTTGAAACTAATATGGTCTATTCCATAAAAATTTCAGTAACAGCAATTGAAGCAAGCTACATTTTGTACACAATGTAGCATTAAAATGTTTACTCATATCTGAGAATTCAGTCCAAAATCAAACTATGCATTTTAACCATGTTCCAATAAACGTCTACCTTGGAACAGTTGCAGTTATTAGAGGCGCAAACTACGGTAAAGTTATTGAGCATTTATCAAATTTAGATCAATTTTTCATCTCACCTTTACTTTACTTACTTTTTGGATAAATAACTTCATCTGATCTATAGTTTCTGTGAGTTCCCAAGTTCCCCAGGCACTAGATGATATTCCTCGCGGGTGCATTGGAAATGATACCTATACAGGGTGGTGACTTGCCTAACGCATCATAGGGATTTCAATGTAAAATTCATTACATGCGATTATTGGCTCCCCAAATTATTTTAGAGCAAAAATGTATTAAGGTTTTTTGTAGAAAAAAATTTTTTACGTCAATCAACCGTATTAGTTTTCAATTTTTTGCATAATAAAGATGGAAAATTGGAAAAATAAAACCCCCATCTTTTTCAATAATCTGTGATGCCATGGAATTTTATAATACAAAAACCACGCCAATATCCGTCATGCCATGGAATGTCTGCTATGAAACAAATCAAATTCTATCACAAACTATTATATTTAGAACAGCGAATTCAACATAAAGAAATACCAAATTACTAAAAACGGTTTCCTAATATAACAATTTGCAATAAATGTTCGAATAAGTCACCATTAACTGCAAGACAGTAACCAAGTCGATCATAAAATCCATTTCGATCTGCTGCTAGCTGATAACTGGATATCTTTTTGTTTTAGAAAATTCCATGGCATCGCAGATTATTGAAAAAGATGCGGGTTTTATTTTTCCAATTTTCAGTCTTTATATGAAAAAAATTGAAAAATAATACGGTTGAATGGCGTAAAAAAAATTTTTCCACAAAAAACTTTAATACATTTTTGCTCTAAAATAATTTGGGGAGCCAATAATCGCATGTTATGAATTTTACATTGAAATCCCTATGATGCGTTACGCAAGTCACCACCCTGTATGGCAAATAGGAGGAAAACTTCAATAACCTGGTTTATCGTAGGTCATGTTTGTAATGGAAATTTTAGAGCACGGACTACTATAAAAATGGATGCTAAGAAACAATATTCAGTCGAAGGCCACTCATCAGCACTGAGTATAATTTATATTTCCGGGATCTTTTTTATACTGCAGTCTACAGAAATCGTGAAAGTCATAATATAATTTATATTATATTATCCTAAACTGTCTAATATATTACCTCTTTGTTACTATAATTCTATATTTTAAACATTTAGAGTAGAATTAATAGTAAATCACAGGAACTAAACTGTGTGTTTTAATACCGAGGGTGCAGTTTGTTGCAACAAGCACTCGAGGGATTAGGACGCAATTTAGTCCCTTCCACTGTCAAAGTCTAACTTTGAAATTTGTTTGATTGTAGAATCAAGATGTGTAACAAATAAATGACAGTTTAATTTAAAGATTCTCGTTCAAAAGTATACCTATGGCGCAAAAATGATCGTTTAAAGTTCTGCAGAATAAGTTACGAGAAAATTAGTGCCTCCGAAATTCAAAAAAATATATAAAAAACCGTATAATGACCAAGAACTAAAATGTACATTTGAAGTTAACCGTTAATCATTAATTTGTGTTTGACATTTTAGTGTGTACTGTCTCTTTTCGTCCCTCATCGCATTTTAATGCCCCCTGGAGAAAAAGTTAAACTTTAGTCCCTTAAATACCTACATATTTGCACCCTAAAGATGTCAAATGTTATTTATGCACCAATTTGCTTGGGAAAAAGACTAAACTGGATTGCTCGATACCCAAGACGTGATCTATGTGTATTGTTTGACGAGCAAAATATTTTTACCCAAAAGATATCACAATCATTATTTATGTACCGAGTTTCTTGGAAAAAAGACCTTGTATTTATTGACTTCGGGTATTCGTTATATGAAAGGATATGGGTTCTAGATGTGCAACTATCCAAAATTAACTTTGGAATCGATAACTTTTTGCCCAAAATCCTAATGCTTCGATGCCCAAGAATGGATCTATATGAATAATTTTTGCGAGTCAAAATATTTTAAACCAAATTTTATCTAATAAAGTATAGATAAAAGTAAATAAATAAATAAAAATCGCACGTTCAGACTATAAAAGTATAACTTTAAAGGTAGTCTATCCGTCTGCCAATGTGAGTGGGTGCGGTGGCAATATCCACGTAGTAGACAATATGTAGGTACCTGGGTAGGTATATAAAGATGCGTTTCTAACACTTTTAATTGATGGTAAATGAAGGCCTCTTTCAGTAATGCGTATTGCTATTTGGAATGGAACATTAGTTGAGAGACGAAGTTCTGGGAATGGAAAGGCAATTTCTATACATTAAACGCTTTGTGACTTTTGGTGTTTCTCGAATTGTTAAAATGACACATCATACCAACCCCTGATGAAACTGTAATGTCTTGCGAAACGTCAGAAAACTGTTTCACTCGCAGCAGTCAGGTTCTAATAAGATCTACTTAGGCCCGCGTGTCAAAAGGCATGGATAGCCTAAAGCTGTTGGGAATGAAACTCGTAATCAGTCGAAAATTAGTTTTTTGTTGTCAATTTATAGATGTTTTAGTTAATTCTAGTCCCCTCCCCCTACTCAATCCTCCTCCAACACATAGCATTTAGCCGCGTGTGAAAGTTTTGTATTTTTTGGGCCATAATAAATCGAACATTAGACGTAGAATATAGGCACGAATGCGATAGGTATCGGCTAATGAAATTGGAATTTAATGTTTAATACGGAATTGACGAAAAAGGTACTTCCTATTTACGAGCACCATTACCGTAATTTACACTTTTTGCAGTATATCTTATGGATTAATTAATGTAATACAATGCAATTCCATTAAGCGCTAATTTTTAATTAATGCTAATAGTGTAAAGTAACCCCTTTCTGTTGTGTTTTTTTTTCGATTTATGCTAACAAACGTATAAAATATTCCGACTGCAGATATCAAAATGTTCTATGAGTCCATTAAATGTAAGTTTTTGCTTCGATGTCGCGACGCATTGTTGTATGTAGACATGGAGTGACGCACGGGCGTCCAATACATAGCGTTTCTCTGCTATGCATCACCGTCGAACTCCGCCATTGCTCGCCAAATGACTTTTACAATTGCACTATAAGTTATCTTTCAAATAATCTACCCGAGAATGAATAATAGAAAAAGAACTTTGTTCCTAACTCATATAGCTTATTCATGAAGTAAAAATCGATTCAATTTATAACGAAATTTCGGATTATGACCGTAATTGTGTCGAAAGAAATTTAACTTAGTGCTTAAAGAACGTTTAATCTACAGGGACAACTTTGAAATGTTAAAACTTTCAAATCCTGCTTCCGCTTAAAGTATTATAATGCCGCGTATGCTATGGAAATCTGGGATCTACAGTGTGCATACATTTGGATAAGATCATGAACTTGTGGGTGGCTTGCAACTGTCTCTATTCCTTAGTGGTCGCCATTTATAGTACTACCAAAACAGGGAATAATGATACTTCCTATTCAAAGTAAAACATTTTCAAATTCCGTGAAAGCTATTTTAGTATGAAAGAGAACCCGTCTCATTTTATATACCGAAGGGTGAATTTTTAATGGAAAATTGCATTTAGGGTGTCACTTTCGCAAAGAAGCTACTATTTTGTATGTCTCCTTTTGAATACCACCGTTACTAATTTTTTAAGCAACAAAAAAATTCAATAATGTATCCAATAACTTTCTTTTTAATGGTCTCTAAGCTTTCTCTCCGAGTATCGGTACCATAAGATTTATATTTTTTTACAAAACCTGCGCTTTTTAAACTGGGACTTTCTAATACATAAAAAGCAATTGGGTACACTTTTTTAAAACTAACAATAGATACGCCGCACGAGCATTATACACTGACACAACTACCACATTTTTTACCGTAATAAACTCATAATTCACATTACCTTACTGTATATTTTACATGAGTTTGTAAATAAACATGCAATGTCTAGACCTCTTAAAAATGTAATCTTCGACATAGGGATAAGTGCTTTTACGTGTTAATTAATATTTTATTCTGTTCTTGTAGTACTTATAAGTGACTTTATATAAAATTAACAAGAAAAAATGCAGTTGTTTTTCAATTAGTTTAAATTATGTTTTTCTTCACTTAGGTTCCACATTTCCGTTAGGCCATGGAGCAGGTCAGTTGCCTTTTTTTATTTAAAAGGGCCAATAAAAAGCTATGCTAAGATTAATTTTTAGCAATATGAAACTTATTTCTAATTTTATTGGCCCACAAAAATATAATCTAACTAATGGCACCATTTTGCACTTCGTATTTACTAGTAATCACATATAGCTAACACGCTTAAATTAATAAAAACTACCCTGTGTGTAAATATTCTTCTCTATTGCACGCTCTATAATCTGTAAAAGTTATATTTTTGAAGACTTATTCGGATATAATAAATCAATTATGGGGAATATTTTAAAATGAGTCATGCGTAAGGGACGAGTAATTCGTATTGAACCGCTGATCATATTTATTAGTTATTGATGTCAGGATTGAAGGGTGAGGTGATTGGTTAGATGAGGATCCAATAGGACAGATGCCAATTTTGCACTTTAACTCAATTTCGTGTGTGTAATAAAGGCGTGTTATTTAAACTTGAAGGCTTGCTGCATTTAAATCATATTTGACACTTTAAAGGCTTTGTCCGCATTCTGATGCGGCTCTTTGTTCAAATTTAAGAGGATTCTTGTTACTGTGGCAGTTAATTTTAACAAGCAGCAGATGGTAGATTTATTTGCAATAGCTTGATGCATGCAAAGCTTTCCTTTCTTAGGTTACCTACACAGTTACAGAATTTACAGTTTCCTCCGTATGCATCAATATTAAACACCTTTAATTTGATTTCCTTATAATTGCACGTTCACATTGAAAGAATCGTAATGATACACTTAATTAGGTTCGTGTGCAATTTTCTCTAATGGGTAATAAAGACTTAAAGAGAGAAATTAACAAAATAGGAACTGATTTCTTACTTTACCGGTACAAGCTGGATGTTCTAAAAAGTGGTAATTAATGCTTTACTTAACGTTAATTTCTGAGTTTATAATTTCACAGGCACCGCTGCGCTTGTAAATAACCAATTTTAAATATAAGGCAGACTTAGTAAGTCAGGTTTTACAACCACGAGGAATTTTAATTCTTTGTTCCGTATAGGAATTTTATGTTGTGCGGAAAGTCAGAGGCTGTTGGTTTGTCGTTCGTCCAGCACGAAGTCGAGACATGCCTGACGCTTGCAAGGTTTTACCAACTTGTAATTGGATTCTCATTTCCAACGCATTCAGAATGGCGATAAAAGCCGGCGTATTCTTTATAACAAATGCCGCACTAAGAAAATTTTAATTGGCCGGTTGCTTCACTCTTTTTCGACCGGTCTTCCTTCATACTCTTAACACGTTTAAGACTTATACCTTATTCAAAACTCGTATTGAGAAACTTAAACCGATTTATCATCGATAAATGGATGGAACTTGGGGCAGGTCTTTGAATTATTTAATATTATTAAAATATTTCCTTCTTGCAAAAAGAATACTGAAGAGGCCGGAACAGCAGTTGTAAGACAGGTGCAACTTCTTGTAACGTCTGTTGGTGCCTTTCAGACTGCAGTATTTGTTCAATAGTGGCATTATTTAATTAGCCGCAATTTTTTAATACTGGCCTTATAAAAAAACCTCGTCGATCCAGATAACTTAAGAAATAATGACCTTTTAGAGTTATCGTTTCCATCTTTCCCACAGACAACATGTGGATGTAAGTACTTGCGTACGGAACTCCTAAGATTTTTACCTTATTGCAAATATTGTTACTGCAAAACGTTCCTATTACTGTTACTTCTTCATTCCAGGGCTATTTCAACAAATTCGCTACTACTGTATCTGAAGACTTCTCACAGTTCGCGTATATAAAAGCATTAGCATCTCCCGTGAATTTTTAAATCATATTCAATTAAAATTTTATTTAGAAGTATAATTTTGATATGTTATACATAAATTGCTGACTTAATATGTTAATTTATGCAATAGTAGATTTAGAATGTCTTAATTAATTACGCCAGATTTATCTTTAGTGTTTCATACCGAAGATACTGCACGAATATATTAATTTTATGTAGGTACAGCTACCTACATGAAATATTTATGTAATTGCTTAATTTTTGAGGTTGGTAGCGTACGTATGACAATGTAATTTGATCGGTATTCGACATGTTCTCACAAAATATTAACGTGAATCAATTATTGTATTTGTATTTTAAGAATGTTGATTTGTTAGAAAGTTATACTGAAACAAGATTTTATGATCAATTATATCGCTTTTTAGGGATTTATAATTTACATTATTGCTTGTTATGGAAGTGGTGACATTTCAGTACTTGTTCAAGGATTATTTTGCTTTATTGGTATGCAATACTATAACATAAGGATGTGATTCCAACGTTTAGCAATGCTGTTTGGTCTGTAAAACGTGTTGTTCTTGACGAAGCTAATAATGAATAAAATCAGAATTCCAATTCTGCTAATTACTAATACTCGTTCATGACGATTTTGAGAATGAAAGCAGCAATCTTTTGGTTGAAATAATCATAAACGCGAAATTTGTAGGGAATCAACGTGTTTATCAATCTGCTCCGATAACACCGCTGTCGTTTAGTTGCTCGTGCTTGATCTCAACTTGGGAGGTCTTTATCCACATTTCTTGTGTTTTTCTTTTCTTGTTTGGTATACTTGTATATCATAGTTGGAGCGTACCTGTCCAATGAATAATTCTGCCATTTCTTTTATTTAAAGAAAAAACGAATCCAAGAGTAGCCGTTCGATAATTTGCACAAACGAATGCAGTGTATACATCATTCTAAATTAATCATTTGAAGCACTTAATACATGTCGTTATGCTCTTTGAGGCGTGCAAATAATTAGAGTTATGAATATAAACGCTGCATTTGTATTTAAATTGCTGTAATCAACTTAAGTAATTACAGGTTGTTTTAAGCAAGTGTAACTGCGGGATAAGTTGTTCGATGCGATGCGGCGAATTATGAAATTATTTGCGGCATTTTTAGTATTTGTCCAACTAGCTATTAATGAAGTTCACCGAAGAAAAGGCGCATAGTTAATGTTGTGTGGGTTGCACTAAATAATAGCTGTATGCAAAACATTCCCCCGATGCACTTTATAAACACCATAGATCTTTAAGTATTTGCGGTCGTGTCTTGCAAATTGTGTGCAAAATCGCACCTTTTCGAACGCTCAATTACAATATCGAACTGTAAGCTACCGCGCGGGTGTTTGATTAAAATTACATGTAAACTTGCTCCTTGCTTGTTTTACATTCCATTGTTTGCAGTCAAGAACAAAGAGATTTCGTGCGGCATTTCTTTTACTGCCAATATAAGTCTTAATTTTTACATTATTCCGCATTCGAATATTCCGGTTTAGTGACACTTTTGTATGAATTTGGAGAAAATTCTCAACTGTATAATAACAATTCCGCAAACCAGTCGTAGGCAATGTCTTATATCAAAATATGACATTTAGAAAGTACACAGTTGTTGTTCAATACACCACACAGATTTATGCCGTTTATGGTTACAATCTGCAGTTTTATTGAATTATTGCGATTTTATACTGTTAGTGAATCGAGTGAGATTTCGCAATATATTACCTATGTGCAATTTCTAAAAGTGCCTGCTTTATTGCACACATCCTATTTATAATTCATAACACGCTAAAGTTCCAATACCGCACTACACTATCGACAACTAAATGTGGTATATTTAATTTTTAATTCACACTACTTGAAACCCCTAAGCGCTTTAATATTTTAAGAGACGTCAGATCTTATAGGATAAACCTTAAGGTACCTATATGCGTATTTCCCCGTTTGAAACATTCCTAAATTTATTGCTGCAATGTTTTATCTTCGTGTTTTGATCAATTCTCGAGTAACAAATTATACCTACGGATGCTTTTTTTTGTAATTTTTATATTTATGTGATTGCGAATTTTTATTAGCGAGGTATACCTATAGTCGTACAATTATACAAATCATATAATGTCGAGGAACCCGTTCATTATTTATAAATATATATATACATAAATGGATAAGTAAGTATTAGGTAGGTACTCGAATTTCTATAGGTAGCTATATTTTCGAAGAAACATAATAAGCTTTCAGTAGAAATATTAAAAATTTAGTACTTATGATTTTATTGAGGCTTTTAATCTATTCATCAGTGCCAATGTTACCATAATTAAGGTGAATAATTCTCATGCGCAGACTGTAGACGGTACCTAACTATACCTGCATGGCAGTGATAGGTATACAACTCTAGTCTCTATTCCTGCATATCTTATTTTAAGATTAATTTTTAAGGAAAACCCTTCCGAATACAGTGACAAGGTTAATACAGACTGATTCAGAAATAAAAAATAAAATTTATTAGGTGAGCAAAGGGTTATACTCGTAGTAGAAAAAATAAAAGTTATGTACCTATAATTTGAATGCCCAATACCAAAACCAAATCACGCCGTGTATCTAAATCATTCTGAATTATACAGAAGTCTACTAATAGATATTATTATATCTACCTGTCAAAAACAAACTTTCGAAAGTTTTCTACACTCTAAATGATTCAATAGGCCAAAATTTAGCTTACCCACTACTTTCGTGTTTTAGACTAATCATTTATTTTACGTAGTTGCACTCAAAGTTATAATATTTATTAACCCTAATAAAACGTAAATTTAAATACATATAGACCAGCGATTCTCAACCTTTTTGTAATCGCGACCCTCTATTTTCTGGGTCTGATGACCGCGAACCCCTAGTACTTAATCCTATTGTTAATGCCATTGAGGAACCCAGTTAAATGAACTACACGCTAAACTAACTATTTTTTATTTATTGTTTATTGATTTGATTGCTTGCTCATTTTGAAACTAAATTAACCACATCACACACATAAAGTTATTGGCAAATTGAAGCGATGTTCTCGACAACAGGCGAGTTCGTGTGGTATCACTACCAGGCGTCTCGGAGTCGGAAGTCCCCGCGGTTGTAGCTGACTATGTAAGTTTTAATTACTACAAAACGACGTTTCCGTCACAACTTTCTTATGCACTTTGCATTTTGTTG